GCTGGAGACCGCGCGGTTGCTGCTGGCGGCGCCCTGCGGCGCCGACGAGGCGGCGCGCGCGCAGCAGTCTGCGGCGCGGGCGGCCGCGCAAGGCGCGCTGGGGGCTGCGGGGCTGGCGGACTCGCTGCTGGCGCTGACCCTGGATGGCGGCGGGGTGCCGTCCTCAGCTGTGCGGGCGCAGGTGCGTGCCTCGGGGTATGGCCTGCAGGGTCATGAGGGCGCTCACGGAGTCAACACCGTGTCGGTGGCGGTCAAGATCGCGCACCTGCAGGGTTGACCGCCCCGCACCCTTGTTGCAGACGCCTGCGGGCGCAACGCCCTTCAGCAAAACGCGGCCTGATAGCCTATGCGGGACCCTCACCTCACTGGTCCCCCCTTGTTTCCCCTGTCTTCCTCGTACCCTGCCCAGGCCCTGCTGTGCCTGGGTGACCTGGTGGCTGGCCACCCCGCCAATCAGGAGTACCTCAATCGCTGTTGCGTCAGCGTCCCCGCCCCCGCAGCCCCCCCGCCCGTCGCCGCAAACGGCGGCCCGCCCGCCTCCCCACGCCGCGCCGGCTACGCGCCTGCGGGGGCGCAGTCCCTCTGGGGTTCGCCCGGGGCCCAGAAGCAGCAGCAGCAGCAGCGGACGCAGCAGCTGCCGGCGCTGCACGCCGCGCTGAGGGTGGCGCTGCTGGCTGAGTCGCCGCGGGAGGCGGCTGCGGCAGCGCACGTCATCGCCTGCTTCTGCCGCGGCAATCCTGAGGGCCAGGTGGCGCTCGCGTCCACGCTGGCGGTGCAGGGTGCGCGTTGTGGGCGCGGCTGCGGTCTGCTGGCTGTCAAGCGCTGCCGGGTTGCAACCCGGAAAAATTTCAACTATTGCTTGGGCCGAGGGCGCCGTGACATGTGCGACTGGACGCGTGTTGGTGTTCTATACCTGCAGTTTAGGGGGAGACATGACGAGCAGGCGAAACATGTGTGCCCTCAGCTCTGCTTGTCATTCCCGGGAATGGATGGCCTCACATGCCGCCACCTCGAATCAACGCCGGCAGGGCGCGGCCCGGGGCGAGACCCCTTTGGGGAGGAGCTCTGGAGCGCGGTCAGCGGGGCGGGGGGCGCGCAGCAGCAGCACCAGCAGCAGCAGCCTGCGGCCGCGGCGGGCGTGCAGCGGGGCGCGTGCGTGCTGGCGGCCATTGTCGGCGGCAACCCCGCGGCGAAGGAGCGTGCGGCGGCGGCGCTGGGCGGCGGGGACGCACTGACGGACGTGTGAGTGGCGTTTGGGGCGCTTGGGTTGCTTGGTGCTGTGCTGTCAGCGCGGAGTTGTGTTGGGGGTGGAGCGGAGGCTCCGCCGGCCCGCTCCCCTCCCACAGCCTGAGCCATCTGGTGGCTAACGCTTTTCCTGCATGCCAGGCGCCCCTTGGTGGGGTTCTTCCGTCACCACCGATTGCGCCCGTCGCCTCACCCTGCCTCACCAATCTGTTCACCACCACCTTGCAAGCCGCAGCACCCCCCCACCCCGCCCCTACCTTGCCGCCCACCTCTCGACAGGCTGACCCAGCAGCTGTCGGAATCTGCGCGCCGCGGCGACGCCGCCGGCCGCGCCGCGGCCTGCTCGCTGCTGCGGCTCCTGGCCGCCTGGTGCGAGGAGGCGCCCCCCTTGGTCGCGCAGCTGCTGGCGCCGCAGGGCCGCCTGCCGCTGCTGCTCGACCTGGCGG